AACAGTTAATTATGTCTAAAGTGAAAGTAAACCGTTGAGAGAAAAACAGATGCGTGCAGCTCTTAAAGGGACAGTACAAAACATGTTGCCGCTTGTCATTAAAGGGATAGTTCACCCAAAATTACAATTGTTATTTACTCAGTCATTTTGTACCAAACATGTATTCATTTTTATTTATTCTTGTGCTGAACACAAAAGATGTTTTGAAGAATGTGAGTAACCAAACAGTTGCTGGTCCCCACTGACTTTAATAGTAGGAAAGAAAAATATGAAAGTCACTGGGGACCAGCAACTGTTTAGTTTGCCACATTCTTCAAAATAACGTTGTTCAACAGAAGAAATAAACTCATTCAGGTTTAAAACAACTTGATAATGAGTAAATGACACAATTTTCATTTTTGGGTGAACTATTCCTTTAATGTTAATAAAATAAAACACAAAGTGAGAAATAACTCGCTGTTCTTGACTGAAGAACTTTAATACAGTTGCTAAAGTTCAGCAGTAATAAAATAACTTGAAATTTTCAACAACTTTTCACTTAATCTTTTTGCACTAAATAGTATCGATAAGCAGTATCGGTATCGATAAAATGTAAACGATACCCATCCCTAATCATGAACTGCTTGTTTGTAAATGAAGACAGTTCAGAATCAGAATCAGAATAAGCTTTATTGCCAGGTATGTTTTCACATACGAGGAATTTGTTTTCATGACAGAAGCTTCCACAGTGCAACAGAATGACAGCGACAGTACAAAAACACAGATAATAAAAGAAGAATAAAAAAATAGAACAAGTAAATAAGAAATAAAAATATATAAATTGACAATTGTATGTGCAGGTATATTACAATAAGACTGTTTTGTATGTACAGGTATAGTATGTGCAAATTTGAGGTGTAGACTAAGTGTGTGTTAGATAAATAAGTGTATGAGTGTATAAATAGTGTTGTGTGTTCCACAGTTATTGTCAAGTATTCATGAGATGGATTGCCTGAGGGAAGAAACCGTTCCTGTGTCTGGTCGTTCTGGTGCTCCGAGCTCTGTAGCGTCGACCAGATGGCAACAGTTCCAGAGTGATTTTGCCAGCCCTTTTGCTCACTCTGGATGAGTACAGTTCTTGAAGAGAAGGGAGGGTTGTACCAATGATTCGCTCAGCAGTCCGGACTACCCTCTGTAGTCTTCTGAGGTCAGA